ATAAATAAAATTAAATTTAAAAAATAAAAACACACGATAAAGGATACCGAATGTAGATAAACCGCCAAGTACAGAACCATGCATAGAACTGGGACTTAAACACAGTATTTGCTGTCGCTGTCATCGCCTTCGTATTATCTAAGTCACAGTCTGTACAGTTGCAGGTTTTCTATTTTTAATTCAAGTGTCACATAATACACTTTTATATATATTCAGCTTTTTCCAGAAAAAATTTTGAAGAATTATTCTGTTATTCAGTGCCAACTTAATAAACATCCAATGTCTTCATCAAGATACTGATTCAAATATTGGCCAGATGAAGAGAGGGCAACCTTATCCTCCAGCATCCCACTATTCCCTCAACTATTACGTCTCACACCACTTCTCTAGTTAGTTGGCTGGTCTGTGGTACCTGGGATTAGCTGATGGCTTTCCAGACATATAGCCTGCTTTCCTGGCACTTCACGTAAGATTCAAGCTATGGACAACCCTAAACAAATCCATATCAAACTGCAATTTGATGTTAAAAAGGAAGAAGAATGGAATCTGCCCAAGCTCGGGAATTTATTAAATAATAAGAAAATCACTCGCAGCTGAGCAATGTCAAGTCTCTTTAAACTCTTAACATTTCCTCTTTGAATCACTTTGATGTGCATCTCATTGTTAAGAAGAGTGAGGAATGGCTTGATCTTACATGGATCATGTAACATAGTAGATCCTACTTAAAAGGGACATTTTCTTCCATTTTCACTATTTTTTAAACTTGATCTTTTAAGAGTCTCCTCAAAAGAGCATCTGATGAAATGAAAATGCATTAAAATCAGATGTGGCTGACCTCTTCACTCCCTGTGCCCTCGGAACATTCTATCAGTCACAGCCCGCAACAAAACTAGCCAATTTGGCTGTTAGTCATCAACATCTTTTATTCCTTCATCCTTACAGCCAGCCCCCATGGACTTCCCACTTCCCACTCTAATCATGCAGCGGGAGGGAATGCAAGTGAGAAAGAGGCATGCAAACCAAAGGTGAAAGCCTGTAAAATTCCTGGTTTGACAGTCGGAAACCCTGTGTTACATTTGTCTCCAATTATTTTTTCAAGGTCATACACCTACTTACGGTTCCACTGTCTCAATTTCCTCACTACAAATTAAAAGGGAGATGAAACTTGTTTATTTACCAAAGTCCCAGTTACATCTCTTTCTGTCATAGAAATCCAACAGATGGATTTTCCCCTCGTCAAATAATTACTTTAACATTGCAGAGAAAACATCTGTGAAGGCAGGTAATTGATTTTTCTGATATTCTGGTGGATGGTTCACACAAGCCAATGATCTAAGATGTTCATGACCAGTATGACCACTGACATCAGTTCTGAGATTCTGTTCATTGGAAAGGATGGAGAGAGAGCCCCTCGTGTGACATCCTCAGGCAGGCAGTGATCTGAAAACAGACCAGAAGGCTCTCACTAAGGAGTGAGGTCTATGGGCTGTTACCTTCCAAATTATGAATCACCTGAGATACCGGTACGCCAAGTGTTTCCTACTCATTTTTCATCAATTCACAGGCATTTATTAGGCTTCTACTCTCTGATGCAACTGAGTAATCGTGTCACTCAATTGTCATCTTAGGATCCGTGGCTGAATCGCTGTGATAATGGAAAGGCTCATGCATGACGCCTGCCACTAGAGTTGATATGACATTTATTCACAGAATTCTTATGTTCTTAAGCAGGAAATCAGTTTCCTTGACCCTTCCTCCTCCTGTTACACTTCACTAAATGAGCGAAGGAAACGATTGCATTGGTAATGACTTCAGAAGGCTTCTCTGTGGCTTTGCATTATATAAGAGTAGGGTTTCCAGGACACCCCTTCGTTTATCAGCTAAGCTTGTCGAATGAGAGAACTATTTGATTTATTTTTTTAATTTTAAGGAACTATCCCAGAGTAGGTATAAGCAATCCATAAACGTTTGTTGAAGGAAAAGGAATCCATAATTTGCACGTTTAATATCTTCACAAGCTGCCATTAAGCCAAGTATGAACGTTATTGATTTAATCAATTTAGTGTGAAATATAACAATGATCATTGTATACATGCCACTTATAGAAGTGTCTTTCATGTATTATGGATTGGGTAATATATATAATTATTATACTTAATAAGTAAATTAATTATTAATAATAAATTAATAAATATTATATATATATTTAGTCCTTAGAACCATTTATGCCTTTATGGTAGATTCTAATCCATATTTAAAGATAAACAAATTAAGACATTTATCATTGTTCAAGAAGGAAGAGTCCCATTCCATTCCATTGCTACTACAATTTTAGTCCAAGAGCTTTTATAATTAAAAATTCATTTGATTAATAAACACTAAAATGGTATTTTTTTCCTCCATATGATATCACTCATATGTGGAATATAAAAAAAGAAAAAAGAAGACACTAATGAACTCATCTACAAAACGGAAACAGACTTGCAGACATAATAAACAATCTTACAGTTACAGGGAGGAAAGAGGGTAGGAAGGGATGAATTTGGGAGTTCGAGATTTGCAAATATTAACTAGTATACACAAAAATAGATAAAAAACCAAATTTCTTCTGTATAGCACAGGGAACTATATTCAATATCTTATAATAACCTTTAATGAAAAAGAATATTAAAACAAATATAAGTAATCATATATATGGCTGGGACATTATGCTGTACACAAGAAATCGATACATTGTAACTGACTATACTTCAATTTAAAAAAATAACAATTAAAATGAACTAATGATAGATTCAGAGGTTTTTGACATAAGGGAAGACTATTTGCTGAAATATCCTTAATTCTTTGTAAAGCAATATCACATAGACAACTCTAATGCTTTCTTTTTCAAGAGCTCCCAGTGTCTTTATTACAAAATACAAAGCTGATGATCATTTTTCTTGAAAACCTATAAAGATTGACATCCATAGCATAGTATCTACTTGACAAATAATCAGCCTAATTTTATCAATATTTCTTTTTCAGGATGTGGAATACAAACAGGAGAAACTTGAGACTTTAATAGACTCACATAAGAAACTGCTGCCCCCCAAAAGCTCAAATAGAATTGCCAGTTATTTCTTCAGTTATTTGAGTTTCAAATTATTTCTTTTCCTGTTTTTTTTTTAAGATCAATTTCCTTAACTAAAAATAACTGAATGATTAATCTATTTGACATAAAACAAATCTGGATTTCTGGCTTACTTGCCTGTCATAATCTTCTTTTAAAAATCCTCAAATTGAAATTGGATTAACACCCATTCCACAAATATTTGTTAAGGCGAAATTCAAGTACCAAGAAGCAGCATAATGTAAAATTAACAGAGTGGCATTATAAGAGACTATATGACCAAAATATCTGCAAGTTGATGTTTATCTGCCCCTTACCCAGCTTTTGGAGGAGAAAACACAACAAAGATAAACTCTCCTACTCAAGCAACTTCCAGGAATGTTTAACTAAACTTTAAATGTATGGCAGGGATTGAGAAATACTACAAAATGTTTAAGTGATCTGAAATAGTATCGGAAAGATAGACCTCTTATTAGGTGCTTATTTTGCTTTCGAATGGGCATGAGAAAATTAGGAGAGGTGATTCTAGTTTCATGAGTTTAATTTTTTAAAAGATTTATTAGAATAAAAAGAAGCCTGTAAAAATAGTTTGCTCATTTCCATGCAAACTATAAATAGAGTTACCATACGGTTTATGTTCCAAACTGGGACACAGTGAGAAGAAGGAGCACTATTAATGATTACAATATGTGTAAACCAAGATTGTCTTATGCACACTGAGACATGTAGTCACCCTAGTTATAAATAAACATATATATATATATATAAAAAAGAGATGGAGATATCCTAAACAGAAATCTGCAGGATGGAACTATGATGAGCTTAAAAGAATTGGTAAAGAGCTTTTAGCTTTTAAACAGACTCTAGATTGAAAGTAAAGAGGTGGTATGAATTGATACTGTGCGTGAGAAGGAAGAAAGGACTTACATCTGGGGGAAACGTTCAGAAAAACCAAGGAATGGGAGCTGCATCTGGTTTTGAACAGACAAGGATAAAAAGGGGTCAAAGTTAAGATGAGGCTATTTCAGGGGCACTTCCTGAACCTACAAGCAGGATTATTTAAATTTCCATTGTACACTTAAACAGGATCAGACCGTCAATATATATATATATTTTCTAACTATGGAGAAGTGTTCTTTCCTTTCGTTGTCACTGTCAGGGGAAACGTTTTGTTCTAAATATGACTCAAAGTGAAGTAGCTCATCCGTTTATTAAGAACACAGGGTCTCAGTCGCACATGGTAGCCGTTCCGTTCACCCACTGCGGAGAATTAGTTACTAGATAGTCTCTCTCCCGCCCTCCTTCCTTCCTTCTTTCTTTCCTCTCCGCCTGCCGCCCTCGCCGTGCTCTTTCTTTTAAACAGAAACAGAAACGTCTCAAGCCCGAAGTTTATCAGGAACACACGACCCTGGGTTATTCACAAAGGCAGGGTGTGGCCAAGCTCGCGGTTTGACTGGCCGTGTCCGAGCCCCGCGCATCCTCCGACGGCGCAGTTGTTCTCCGGCGACGGCGCGGACGCTGCCGCACCTCCCGCTCCGCGAGGGCCGCACGGCTACGCAGGAGACGGGGAACGTGCGGCCCTGAGTCTGTCCCAGGATTTTCAGTCCCTGCTTGTTTCCTTCCTGTGACTCCCTGCAGAGCCTGACAGTGTGCTCAGCACACGCTCCTGCTCGACTTCAACACCCTTGGTTTATTCCCAGGAAATCCCCGCCACATCCCCTCCCACTCTCTCCTCAGTAAATAACGTATTTATTTAAAGGCCTGCTTTCACCCCCCCACCCACGCCCCCAAACCCTGCAGAGAATAACTGCAATGGATTCTTTTATAGAGAAAATAACTCACATTTTCTCTTTTATGACTAGAAAAAAAGCAGACTCTTTTACTTGTGAGGCTCTGGGTTGACGTCAAGAGATTTGAGGAAAGCACAACTCTGCCCTCTCTGCTAAGTGCAATGAAAAACTTTGATCTCCCTGGAGGGGAGAAAACATTTTTTTTGGAGAGGACTGTCAAGAGCCTGGAGCCAGGGGGAGTCCTACTCGCTGCTGTGCCCTTTCAGACTAGTCGGGCAGATCCACAATTGGGCAAATGGTATGCCTGCAAAAGGTGTTTTCCTCTAGAAACCCATTAATCAACTTAGGAGCAACTCAAACCTCTAAGATGGTTGTACCTATTTAATGTTTCATTATTATATGTTATAATCTCTAATATATATTATACTATAAGAATGCCATTTAAAAAAAGAATCTTGGTTCCATGCCTTTCAGATTCAGCCTTGAAACCTGAATAAAGAGGTTTTTTAATTTGATGTCAGAAAAAATAAGCATCTCTTCATGTTGATATCTCTTTAAGTTTCACTGCCCTTTATAGATTACCTAGAACGAGTGAATAGGTAAAATGCACATTAGTGTCCATGCTGGGGCACCCTGCTGGGCCTGCTGCACCTCTAGAAATGTGGGCTGCCTTCTTCAATAGCCCAACGGAGAAAGTCTGCCACTCTGAACCATCCAGAGCCGATTCATATGCAGATAAAATGCACCTTCTGGAAGGAGCTGTCCAGTTTGGGTGGTATTGGAATCAAGAATCATTTGTTCAGACTCACAGATAGAAAACAAACTTACGGTTACTAGTGGGGAAAAGGGTGAGGGTGGGGGAAGGGTTAAACTGGGAGTTTGAGATTTACAGATACTAACTACTATATATAAAGTAGATGAATAAGTGTCTTCTGTACAGCACTGGGAACAATATTCAATATCCTGTAGTAACATATAAGGAAAAAGAATCTGAAAAGGAATATATGTATGTATACGTATGACTGAAGCATTATGCTGTACACCAGAAATTGACACAACATTGTAAACTGTACTTTAATTTAAAAAATCATTTGTTCATTTGTTCTGGAATTTTTAGGCAGGCCTAGGTAGCAGAGAGACTCAGCTCATCCACACCAGTCTTTTTCAAGCTCAGAGCTAAATGGTGCCCCCAGAGGCATCCTATAGTTTCCCAATGAGTCTACACTCAACTCCCCCTTCCACTGCTGGTTTTCTGTTTACTCCGTTATTTTGTCCTTGTCTTTGCCTGTGATGCTGCACCACCCACTTCTGGTCTAGTACCCTCTGTGATCCAAGACCAGTGGGTCTCTTTCTTGCCAAGACCACCTCAGAATATGGATTAGAGGAAAGATCAAAAATAGTCACAGCTTTTGAAAATACAGAGCTTCTATTTGAAAGGCTCCACCAAGCAGCAGGGAAGAGAGAAAAAAGTGAAGAAAAAGAACATCAGAGAGAGGCAGACCCACAGTGAAAAAATTTGTCTTCTCTGCCCTTGGTCTTTTCTTGTCTCCTCTTATTTCTTTCACAGCCTCCCCTCTTCTTGGATTTTCACACTCTTAACTCTCCTCTCATTTTTTTCTTTCTCTTTTAACCTTAGAACTGCCAACAGTTAAAGGACAAGATGGCCTCCTTGCCCAAAATTATGAGCTGAAACAAACTGGCGGTATTGTTCAATGGTGACGGTCACTATACCATGAACTATATTGATGGATTCCAACAGCCTGGTAATGACATATATTTAAAGAGGACACCTTCCATGCTCACTGCACAGTATCAGGTCCTTCATAGGAAACAAAACATTGTTTTATGTGAGATGACTTATAACAACAATTTAATATTAGGGCAGCTTTTATAAAGGAAAGAAACCACTTTCAATTCTACCTCTCTGTGTTAAAATTTATCATTTTAATCTATTCTCTTCTCATATTTTCCAAAAGTACATTTTATATACTTGAAACCATAGTGCACAAATTAATTTTGTGCCATGCTTTAAAAAAACCACATTTCCAAGTTGGTAAATAGTCATCATAATTTTAAAAAACTGTATGATTCCATTGAATGAAATACTTACACAATTCACATAAACGTTCTATTATTACAATACTGAACCTTTGAACTCTTTTGACAAGTACGTTTGTACCTATGACATTTTCCCATTTCAGATTATTATTATAGAACATAATCCTGGAGGAGGTATTCATGTGTCAAAGGAGGTAACTAACCATTTTATGATACCTAATGCATATTACCAAATTTCACATCATAGCTTTTCCTAAGAAAAAAAGCTTCGAGTACCTTCTTTATGCAAAGCATTTTGCTAGATTCTCAGGCAGAAAGGAATGAGTTTAAAATACATTCTTTGTCCTGAAAATCATGCAGTGCATTTGGGGAAATAAAACATCCCCATGTGAAAAGAGAGCTAACAATATCAACTACAGGGATTCAGAGAAGAAAGAACAGGAATCATCTTCAGCAGCAGTGGCTGAAGAGTTAGACTTTTTTTCTTTTAACTGAAGTACATAGTTGGTTACAATGTGTCGATTACTGGTGTACAGCATGATGTCCCAATCATGCATATATATACATATATTTGTTTTCATATTCTTTTTCATTAAAGGTTATTAAAAGATGAATTAGACTTATAATTGAGTCTTAGGATGGTTGTAGGTTTGGACGAGATGGGAGAATATCCAGCTGGTAAATTGTGTGATAAGGAAGGGAATTAGCAATCCAAGGAATTCCTTGTGACTCAGAGTTACAGTGTGAGTAAATTTAACTCATGAGCCTGATCCACAGAGAAAGCAGACTCCCCAGGGGTAGTTCCATTACTAGCAATAGTTATTCACCCTTGTCCTTGAAACTTTCTCTTCCCTTGTTACATCTGATGTGATTCTCAGAGGTTTACCTGCTCTGCCTCTCACCTGTCCTCTTCTTTCTCTCTTCTAACAACCCCTCTAACTATGGCATTTCTCAAAGTTCTCTTCCAGCCCTTTTCTTCCTTTATGTTCTTTCCATCATTAATTTCACTTGATCTGTTGTCTCTAGCCCTTGCTTCGTGTGTTAACTCCCTAAACTCTATTTCCAGCCTTCAGTTCTTTTGGTCTGACACGTTTCCACCTGCAGCTGACAGCATTTGAAGGCCAGCAAGTCCCAAACTAAACTCTTATGTTCTCCAGGTCATTTGAAAGCACCACAGTTCAGAAGCACCATCATCTTTGATGTCTCTTTCATCTTCATAGTTCGCATTCAATCAAGTTTCTAAATTTGGTCCCAGCTTCACAGTGAATCCCAATTTCCTCCTATTGTAGGTCACTAAAAAATCTCTCACCGAGGATATTGAGAGGATTCCTATCTGATCTGCTTGCCTCTAGCCTCTTCCCTTCAATCTGGGCCTCTACACCATCACCAGGTACCTTCCTAAAGCTTAGAGTAGATTGTGTCACTTGTCTATCCCAGGACTTCCAATGGCTCTACTCAGCTGGTAGAGTCAAATCCAGACACATCACTGTATCTCCCCTGGTCCTTTATGACTTGGACCCACTCTACTTCTCTCATTTCATCTCTTCGCACTACACCTATCTACACACACACACACACACACACACACACACACAAAATCACCTTGGACTTTTAAAAATTCACAGAAAACAAACATGACTTTTAACCCAGCTGAACCTCTTCTACTGTAGTTTCCTTTGGACCCACTCTACTTCTCTCATTTCATCTCTTCGCACTACACCTATCTACACACACACACACACACACACACAAAATCACCTTAGACTTTTAAAAATTCACAGAAAACAAACATGACTTTTAACCCAGCTGAACCTCTTCTACTGTAGTTTCCTTGAAGAATGGAATACTCTCACATGCTCTGGTCTGCTGACAACTAACACAACCTCTAGGCCCAACCAAAAACCTCACCTCCCAAGAGCATTCCCAGACCTCCGTCTCCCCAGCTGGAACCCGTGTGTTCTAGCTTCGTCTTTACAGCACAGAGCAGTTAATTTACATTTCTGTCCGCACAACTAGGATGCTCCCTTTCTAAAGGCCAAGTTAAGAAATTCAATGAATTCAAAAGTGTTTAAATGTTTTAATCTCACTGGCCAGAGGCTGGGTTTCCTCCTGCTACTTGATAAATGGCTACTAGGGGATGGTCAGGTAAACCTAAAAGCCTTCAGAAAGATGCTCAATAGAATCCTTATCCGACAGGTGTGGGGAGAGGAGGAGGGAGAGAGAGGAGAAAAGTCTCTGAGAAGTTACGCAAGGGTTTTCTCTCCAATCAGTCCCATGATTTATCTTTAATGACATATGATATATCAAGAACTGTAATCACTTGTCATGATGGGTTCTTGAGAAAGAAGGTGGCATTGCAAATTCAAGTTCTTGTCCCTAATTCAAGGCCCCTGCTTAGGGTAAAAGTGAGAGCTTTAAGTTCAGAAGACCTTCAAGCTGTAAGTGTTTCCCAATCCCTTGCCATTCTATGTGATGCTGAGTGGTGTCCTAGCCCACTGTGGGATGCTCTAGTCCCCAGATAAATCTGAGGTAGGAGAGAAGGAAGAGAGAGGAAGGGAATTTGCAACCAACACTCCAGCTTTATTTATCACTTACCCTGGGAAAGTACTGAGCCAACAAAAAGGGAAAAAAGAAAGCCAAGTTATTTAAAGAGCAGGACCTAAAACATCAGAAACATAAACTAATGCTTCTAAATAAAAAAGGGTGTGGAGCATGAGTCTTTTTTTAAGTAGATTTCATATCTTAAGAAAACTGGATTTTAAATGGTATTTTTGAATGGATCATGCAGCCCTGTTTATTAAGACTTAGAGTTATTCCCAAGACCTATTTCTGACTTCCTGGGTTCATGACATTAGGTGGCACTGAATTTTTCCATTTCCATAGTGCAGGCAGGTTAATGATAATATCTGCTTTTGCCTGAAGTGAGACTGGTAAAAGAAACCCATTAAAATGATGAGGATAAACGGTCACGTCTCGTCAAGACCAGTTCTCCCCGTGATTCGTCAGGCTAAATTCCCAGGGAATTTAGTTTGACCTGTTGAAAAATGACCCATGTTGTTGGGTTAAATGTATGAAGGAATAAAACAACCAGTGAATGATAAAGGCAGTCTCTAAGGCTAACTACATTTGCTAAACTAAAATGAAATAGAAATCTAGAAGCTGTAAGAGTGGCACCTGATGCTTTTCCAGAATTAACAAATCAGCCTGTCATTCCAGCCTGGTCTATCCATACCAATAATTTACAGCCCCAGGGAGAGAAGATTATCTGTGCACAGAATGCCTCACACTCTTAGTCTGTTGATTTTATTTACAAGGTGAATGCAGAAATAGTCATCATTTCGTCAATTACTAGTTCAGGAAAGGAAGACATATCAGAACAAATTCACTTTTTGGCCCTGACTAATTGTGATTCAGTAAACTAAGGCATTCTGGACAAACAGCAGAACTCACTAATTCAGACTCTAATGAATACATCTGCTAAATAACTATAGGCCTATAACTGTAGAGAAATATATGATCAAATACTATCAACTTCTTCACCAATAAGAGCCACATACAAAATAGAATGAATAAAACTGTCTCACGATAGCCCTAAATTATCTCTTTTTCCAAGTGTAATAAAGTGCTTATCATGTCGTTTGGGGCAGTACGTGTGCAGGCTAGGAGCCCTAGATCTGTAGGTCCACAGACAAGGGCTCAGATCTTCCCTCTGTCAGAGCACTTAGCAGCTCTGTGATCTCAGGCGAGTTACTTAACCACTTCACACTTGTTTCCTCTCTCAGAAAATGAGGGTGATGAAATCCATCCTATGGGATTGTAAGAATTAACTGAGGGGATGTGATGTATCATACTACGTTTAGTGTCTGACACATGATACCTTCTCAAGAAACATGACGTTAGTGAGGCCCCAAAATTGAACAGACTAGATGGTGCTTCTCACTTCATATTCTAAGGGAAATTCATAGAATAATCTAGTTCAAACACACACACACAATGAAAATACTTGCCCTGGTGCCCAGCTGTGCTAGATATTTCTTCGATTCACTCCCATGGCCCATTTTGACAAATATACAACCCTACGGCAAAGAACTCCCAGGTGAATCAGAAAAGGTCCTTTGTATCAGTACAACTTTGTGTGCATTAAGTCCCTTGAATGGAACGGGCTCTGGATATAACCTTATCGATTGTTTTCCTTGATGATGGTTTTTCTAAATGGAGACTTACCAGAGGATTTCTGTACTGACTTGGCAATATTTTCTCTAAGCGTGTTATTTCTAAATCTTTTTCTGGCTTTCTGAAGGTCATGGGCCGGGTCTATGTCATTTCTCTTTGCAGCACCGCAGGCAAGCGGTTGCTTAGGAAATGCTTTTGGAGATGGTGAGGAGCTCTGTTTCTCATTAAGTGGCTTTGAACTTTAGCACTGCAAGTCCTGACTCTGGATTTACCCTTCACATTACTGCATAATTCAATTCAAACAGCAAAGTGATTATCCTCTCTCTCCAAGACGTGCAGGGAGTGTGTTTCCCCGGGTGCCTTCTTCTATATCTTAACGAAGCCAGTCCATTCTAATGTGTTTAATGTGTTTCTCTTTTCTTTTCTTTTCTTTTTTTTTGAGGGAAGGAGTTAGGTTTGCTGGTTTATTTCTTACTGGAGGTACTGGGGACTGAGCCTGGCCTTGTGCATGCTACACACATATTCTACCACTGAGCTATACCCTCCTCTGAGGCCAGTCCATTCTAACAAAAGGATTCTACTATTCCCTACATTCCTCGTTCTGACCCTTCTCTTAACTTGATGTTTCAGCATTTTGTGGTGACACTGGTGGTGGGGGGGACAGTGAGTCAAAAATGGGTTAGGAATGTCCTCTCTGCCCGGCTGCAGGAAAGAAGACCAGAGCTGGCTTAAATCCAAAGGTCAAATCTATACAGGCTTTCTTATGGGAAAGGAATGCCAAACCTGTTTCAAAGTCTTTTGAAGTGAGTTTATAACCCCAGACTACTAAAATTAACCGTCCGGCTGAGTCATTCTGACATTTCCGTGAGCCAAGTTAGACGGATGAACTTCCCGGGGTTATCTGTTATCAGATCAACAAAGCAATATATTTTACATAAATACCTTCGACCAAAATGGCATGGGGAAACCCACGAAGCTTAGAAGATGCCCTCGGGGACTGCCTAAGATTTTTCATAAGCAGAAAAAGAGCCAAGTAGCCATGTGAATGGAATTTTCAACACAGCACTAGGCGAGCCGGGACAAATGAACAGCCTCCTTCCGTCATTCTTCTTTTTTTAATGCTTCTAAATTATGTTAGAATTTTAGGGCTTCCAATCGGATTAAAGGTTGGCTGAGTAGGACGATGACTTGGGGAAGAAAAAAGCACCTCAACAAAAATGCCTCTTGCGCTGAGTGCAAAGTTCCCCTCATTTCAGACTGACATTCATTAGAAGAGGGAGCAACTAATGCTCAGGAAGAGAATCTCCAGTTTATTTATCTGATGCGAGACCCAGGCCTCCCGCTGAGCTGCTTCCGCCTTGTGATGGAAAACATATATTTTTCTATCGCCCTTATTTTCTCAGTAGGGTAAAGAAGAAGGAATAAAACAATTTTGATGTTCAGGGCTTCTTAACTTAGTATTATTTTAGCATATAATCAGTTGTCTCCTATTAGCTTAGAGTCAGTAATCATCACATTATAAATACATCTATATAATAACAGATATCCCATTTCATTGTACCTATACAGAGAAACACAAAACGTCAGATAGAGTTACTTAAAAGGAGCCGTAGGAAAAAAAATAAAAATAAAAAAAAAATAAAAGGAACCGTAAAGATTATCCAGCTGCCTTATTTTAGAAGTAACTAAAAGGAGGTTCAGAGAGGTTAGTCATTTCCCCCACAAAAGCGCGCCTCTGATCCTCCCCGATTCCCCACCCCGAGTTCCAGTCCAGTGTGCTGCTCTGGGTGGCAGAGAGTAAAACTACCAGGTACTGAATACTGTATGAAGCTTTCGTGTGTCTTCACCCATTCAAACACACTCAACAATTTAGTATCATTTGTATCATCATTTCTGTTTTATATACAGACGTCTTAAGTGTAGTTTAAGGTCACATATCTGGACAATGACAACATTTTTCACAGTCAGTGTGCATATTTTTTAAAATAATACTAGAAAAGAAAATTTATGAGCACAATTCAGTTTATAGTAAATAATACATATGCATTACCATTCTTAAAAGTTGGTTTTATAGGTACCAGTAACAAAAGCATTTTCTGTGATTCTACCATGGAATTGAACAGGGTAACTTCTGCAATGCACTTAAAGATGCAATGCAAGAATCACTCTAAGAAAGATACCCTTAAAATGTCCCCCAGTGCGCTCAGCCATAAATATGAATCACTGAAGTTGAGCATTAGAAAGACAAAATTCTCAAACCACTGATGAAATGATGTCCTATTTTTAGGCAGATAGTACCATAATAGCAAAGAGATAAGATATCTCATTTGTGTCCGGGATATTTAGAACAAAATATAATGAGAAAGAACTGCTGGAGAAGTCCTTCAGTTAGCCACCCTCTCATTCTGATCCTAAACCGAATCCCTCAACCTGCTGGGGTGAGGGTGAGGGTGAGGGTGGAGGAACACATCACACCATCCCACACTATCGTTTTCTGCCTGGACCCCTACCAGGGGCTCCAGTAAAAGGCATTCACCTTTCCTACAGCCAAAAAGCCAAAAATCTTATTCATATCAACCCATGGATCTCAGTCTCTAGGGGAGCACCAGCACTCCAGTTTTGTAAACAGCCATATTCTGAATTTCAAATGAATTTTCCAGCTAGGATAGATATAATATACATATATACAATACTATATATTCATCATCCTGAAGGTGGCTTTCATTTCTATTATTTTAGAAATCAAAATGTTGTAAAGACAAAGTAAACAGAGATATGCCCAGAAAATTTAGCAACACATTCATATACTTTCCTAATTTTCTAAAGTATCAAAGCATAAATAGCCACTGCAAGAACTTATGTCTACTGTATATTTGATTTCTTTGAAATTCATACACAGCTTCATCTGGAAAACACACTCCCTGTGATTAATCAAAAGCAGTTGGTCCTTAACTGTAATTAAATATATATGGTTTTGTCAAGTTAAATCTGTGATGAATTCTGTGTATGAACAGGAAAATAGGATAGTTTAGTGACTGACACTCAACTAAAGAAATATAAGCATAGCTTCCTTTCCCTTCCTTGTATGTGTGTGTGTGTATATATATATATTTATATTTTTTAATCATGTGAATCATACAAAAGCATCTTCTCTCCAAACTTAGATCTATGGCAGCCCTAAAAACAGAGCAGAAATGGCTATTTTCCACGGACCCCAGGGCCAGTCTAGGAATAGCCCTTCAGTACAAACTATGCAGCTCTCACAGCTTTAAGTAAACTTAAATAAGGTGATCTTTTTCTCAACAGGAAGTGAATGTGTTTTGAGGCTCTGTCTTTTTCATGATTAATTGGCTCTGTGTGAATCTGACTCTTTGGGAACCTGACCTTATTTGTGTAAGTGGAATGGGCTTATGGAAAAGAGTCAGGAAAGAGATAAATGAATGAAATTTCGGAAACACTACTGGTTGGTGTGTCAACCAAGGAGAATGAATGGGGAGAAAGTAAAGGTTCCACTGAGAGGGTAATGTTAGTGCTACATCTCAGAAAAAATTGGGATTTACAAGTCAGAGAAGATAGGGCAGTGCATTCCCTATGAGGCTGTGCCATGGTGATGAACCAAATTTCTGCCTGTGTTTAAGGGCCAATGGCTGGTCTCTAAGATTCCAAACTTTTCTCTGATAATAAGGCTGACTTTGGCTTTCCTAGGATCACTTTGGGTGAATCTTCCAAGACTTGTGAGCATCTCAAGTACAGCCATGATCGCACTGTCTTGTAATTATCTGTCTGCTCCACTTGAAGGCTGGGTACATATTTATGTCAAATTATACCAGTGTCTGACAAATGTATACACTCAGATGACTAAACAAACCAATGCACGAATGAGGATTTAACCAGGAGAGCAAAGGCCTTGCAGGGGCCACTCTTGCTGACGGCAGTTTGTAATGACGTTCACTACGAAAGCTCAGAATGCCCATGTCACGTGGAGAGTCTGTTCTGAGTGCCCCCGAGAGGTCTAAACCAGTCCAGAGCGCTGCTCAGAATTCCAGATAAATCTTGTTTAACCAATCTTGTGTTCTCTGGAAAATAGCTTATCCCTTAGGGAGGCGATCTAAACTGACCCTTTCCACTGGGACTCCTCCAGCTATTGGTCTGGGCTCCATTCCTGGAGATGCTCTCATCGATATGGGTTGTTAGGTTCACTTTGGTCCACCACCAAAACAGGCACAAGCCTCTGGGTCCTGCCAGCATGTTCCATTTTAGGACACCTGAGTATTTTTATTCCTTCTTCCTTTTCAAACACAAAATGAAAAAAAAGTGAAGTCAATAGAAAGATCATGCTCTCTGGTGTCAGAGATCTGAGTTTGAATCTTGGCTTTACCCCTTTCTGTTTGACTATGGGTGAGTTAATTTCCTGAGCCTCAGTTTCCTCATCTGAAAAAAAAAACTGGGATAAACAGTACTTACTTCATAGGTAATAGTGAGCATCAAATATGATGTACCTGACACAGAGCACCAAATAGGTATTCAGTAAATAGTGGCTTTAAAGATGCCTAAGAAAATATAAACATCTTTGTAAAGCATAAAACTATCCAATTTTTCTCACGGTGGCTGGAAGCAAGACAAATGTCATTGCTTCACCTTAAACATAAGCACAGTAATTGTGTATGCTACTTAATGCACTGAGCATATTTTCCAGCTGCTAAGTATCTTAAAAAATACAAAATAAATTTCTTTTACTTTAAGAATCAGCGGGGAAAGGAAATAAGTTCACTGTCACAGAATGGTATTTGGAGATTTACAACTGAACTTTAATCTTTTGTTAGGAATGACTTTCCAGGAAAGGCTGCGTCCTCACAAACGGTGATACTGTTTCGTAAATACAGCGGTGCTGCCTTGGGCAGCCGATTCACACAGAACAGTTTTATTTTCTTGCTTTATGACCCTGAATTTTCTAAGCTGACTTAGTACCTGACTCGAAAGTGAGTCTATCAAGGAAGTCAGGTAAAAAAGCAAGAAAAATCAACAAACTGTTCATCTCCATCCAGCCCTTCCTCAATAACACAACAGCAGTTATTAATTCAAATAGTGGGCACTGAGTGATAATATCCATTATGGATTGATCTCTTCCTCTTCTCTTTCCCTAGGCATTTTCCCCACGCTCTCCTAGACTTTTTCCTTTTGGTTTCCATTCAGTTTATTTTTCTTGTTAGTTATATCCCTGTATTCCTCTTTATGCCTCTAGGAAAATATAAAATGAATCTTCTATTTGTGGAGAAATAGCGCATCCCGATGATTCCAGGGAAGTCTCCCTATTTCAGTGATTGTAAGTTTCCCAAAGCGCTCCATGAACAATAAATGCCTTGATTTTTTTCTCCAGTTCTATCTGCCATTTAATAATCCTACCTTGCCTAAATTAGATATGTCTTACTGGTATTTGGGCTCAAAAAAAATCACACATTTTATGATGAGGTGTAGCTGTGAAGGAAAGACCCTGAGGCTCAGAGAGGTAAAGTAACAAGAGACAACATCACCCAGCTCATGTGAATTTAGGAAATATGGGAGTCCAGAAGCTGTGCTCTGTCTTAACCTTTTCTTTCTCTCTCTTCAATGAGGCTAAAATCCAGCCAATGGATCATCTTAGTGGGGGAGCATCTGGTAACTTTCCCAGAAGACAGAGACATGTGAGGATCTGCAATAGGAGAAGCATGGTCATCCTGCCTGTAAGACAAATCTTGACACACATACAAGTAACTCTGGCACCTGCCAACCTGTACAAACAAACAATAGCATGTATTTGTGTGAAAGCCAGTTTTCTACAAACTGGATGATATGGAGTGAACGCCAGCTGTTCTGAGAACCCCGAGCCTGCTGATGGAAGATTACCCTGGGGTGGGATGCAACACAAATCATGGTCCTTGATTCTATTATTGCTCTGCCAATGTCCTCATTTGACATCAGACGCTATTGAAAGCACCCAGAAAAACACATGAATGATTATTGAGAAGTGTATCTAACAAGACGGCAGGTGTGTTCCCAGCAGTAAGTCACAATAAAACAACTCTCCACCACAAAAACGAGTGATGATTCTTACTTTGAAAATAGATAGTGAATGTCTTCAGTAATTGGATTTTCTGCTTCTTAAAATTTCCTAAGAGGTGCTGAAAATTATACCATACATTCTACAGGAATCCAATAAAATGCTGGATTAACTACACATAGCTGTGACTTGAAATATCTGAAAACAATATGCTATCCATTTTAAATATAAGTAAACATAAATATAAAAATAATTGAAATGATAAACAGGAATTAAAATTTAAGTTACCAGTTAATATA